TTTAAGGAGAAGACATTCACATAGTACTTATATACTAGAAAAAGCTATTTTTCTAGCTATTTACTAATTGCTATTGAAGCAAATTTTACTCATCATCTTTCCCCATCCATGCTTGATACATTCTTAATAGGAGAGGAGGATCTTTTTAAGAAGACATTTGTTATTTTGAACAAAAGTAAGCTTGAGTTGGAAGCAAATTTGGGTAATCTCCAATTAAGTCATCTGTAGTTGTGCACAGACTCTCCCAGGGTGTTCAGGTCCCGCACAGACCCTTTAAGAGAATGGAAAGACTGAGGGGAGGCTGGACTCCTTTAAGAGAAGCAGGTGTCTCAGCCCCCAGGTGGAGTCATTTCCTGCCCTGTGATAAAGTCCGCCTGGGTGTGTGCCTCTGTCATTACCGTGGGCCAGTGGGGCACCTCCAGAGCAGCATGGTAAGTGGCTATGGTCCCCTACCTTGTTATCACTGTCGCTTCGGTGTGCTAGCAAATTTTACCCATCATATTTGGCCCACTTCACTACCAAACCATCCTTAATAAAGTCTTAATAAAAAAGGAAGAGATTTTTAAGGAGGCCATTTGTTTCTTTCAATAACTGTGTTTGAGGCAGATTTGGATAAGCTCTCATCCCATGCATCTGTAGTTTTGCAGCTTTTAGGAGAAGCTTGGTTGATTTGCAGTTGTTCACTCCTTTTTTCCTTAATTTTTTTTTTAAATTTTATTTGTATTTTGAAAGAGAGAGAGAGAGAGGCAGAATCTGAAGCAGGCTCCAGGCTTGGAGCTGTCAGCACAGAGCCTCACATGGGGCTTGAACCCATGAACTGTGAGATCATGACCTGAGCTGAAGTTGGACTGAGCCACCCAGGTGCCCCTGTTCACTGCTCTTAATTGAAGTGCTGAAGCAGGAAGCCCTCCTTCCTTTTGTTCCATGTTTGTTTTAGACCTGGCATGCTGGGTTTTCTGTAGAAATCAAATTGCTTCACTTTTAGGTAGGCTTGTAGAGTTTCTGGGGACTTCAGACCCAGGTCACCATTGCTAAGCTCATAAACGCGTGGCCGGGTAAAGTACACGGACATCTATCTCCTTGTCCTCTCTTGATTTCAGTTCTCAGGGGACAACAATGAACATAGTTACTTATAATTCCTGCCTGGGGATCATCTTTTAAGATCCACTGGCCTTTTAGTATCTTATGTGCCAGTCTCAGTAATTTTTAGTATGTTAGAATTTTGAATTCTTAAATGGAAGCAGCCTTTCATACTGCTTATTTATCTTCGATGTTCTTAGCCCCTTGGACTCTCTCTTCAACATTTTAAGGATGTTTTAAGTTGTTTTGTTCTTAGAAATGATGCCTTCCTACGTGGGGGCTCCCTGTGGTCCCAGAAACGTTCTGTGTCTCGACTGAATCACTTTCAATATTCTGGGTGTGATATTGTACGATATATGTAGTCTTGCAAGGTATTTCTGCTGGGGGAAATGGGTAAGGGGTACACGAGATCTTTATGGTTTCTTACAACCATGTATGAATCTACAACTTGTCTTTTTTTTTTTTAACATTTATTCATTTTTGAGAGACAGAGAGAGACAGAGCATGAACGGGGGAGGGGCAGAGAGAGAGGGAGACACAGAATCGGAAGCAGGCTCCAGGCTCTGAGCCATCAGCCCAGAGCCTGATGCGGGGCTCGAACTCACGGACTGTGAGATCATGGCCTGAGCTGAAGTCGGCCGCTTAACTGACTGAGCCACCCAAGCGCCCCATCTTGTCTTTATCTCAAAATAAAAAGTGAATTAGAAAATAGTGCCTTCCTAGTAATTCAAATAGCCACGGTAGCAGCATTTATGAATGTGCAGTGACTTACCAGTATTGGTATTTGGTGGGCAGTTTACAGTCTTATTTTATAGTGTGACTAATATTTAGCAGATACTCCGAAAGGAGGGAAAGGCTAAGAGAAGCAGAAAGTATAGATAGCCTTCTGTACTTTGGGACACAGTTATGTCTTGATTGGTCCTTCTTGGGCCAAGTATTCCTGGCGAGTCCCAAAAGGACATTATCATGCCTATGTCTGAATCACTTGGGTAACAGACCTTGTGAAGACACTGTTACCTAAATTTAGGGAGCTTTGATCTGATTACAGTAGCTGATGTGCAGAGATCGTTGGAAGCCCAGCAGGTACGGGAGGGATGAGGCTGTGCTTTAAGAGTCTTAGAAGCTGGTTTATGATGGAACATGTTGTTTGATTTTTATATGCCATACAGAGGTGGGAATATTGGTTGGTACTGAGTCAGGTGCTTTATTTATTTTTTTTAATGTTTATTTATTTTTGAGACAGACACAGAGAGAGAGAGACACACACACACAGAGAGAGGGAGACCCAGAATCTGAAGCAGGCTCCAGGCTCTGAGCTGTCAGCACAGAGCCGGACTCAGGGCTCAAATTCACGAACTGTGAGATTGTGACCTGAGCCGAAGTCAGACGCTTCACTGACTGAGCCACCCAGGCACCCCTAGTGAGGTGCTTTCTAAATTGAGCTCACAGCCTTTGTCACGGGAGACCCGTAGCTGCACAGAGAAGGAACAAGGGGGAGGTGGTATTCAAGCTGTGAACTTGAATCCCTCATAAAGCAGAGAGGGCTGTGTCAGACCTTGTGAATCAAGGAGACAAAGTACACGGGCTTGATGCAGCGGGAACAGGAACAGAGTCCAAGTCTGACTGCAGGGCTGTGATCAGCCAGATCTGCCTCCCTCCCTCCCTGGACTGAGTGGTCTTTTTGTTGTTGAGTCTCAACCTGTCCCATGCCCACTAGCCACCGAAACCCAACAACGTGCAAATCCCCAACTGCTGTCCTTGCGGTTTTCAGGATGTAACTTTTTCTTTCCTTCTCTCAGAGGAGCAAATATTCGTGTCTGTGTAAATTATCAAGAAAGTTAGATGGTGGCCTTTAAGAACAAGATGTGAATGGTGATTTAAAAGTAGGAGGGAGAGTAGAGGCCAATGAGGGTGGTAGAAAACAGTAGACTTTACACAAGAAAAATAATCACTGTCCAGACACAACTGCTGTTAATATTTAATGGTTTTTTTTGCATTTTTAAAGATCTTTTTTGGGGCATCTGGGTGGCTCAGTCGGTAAAGCGTTCGACTCTTGATTTCGGCTTAGGTCATGATCTCACCGTTTGTGGGTTCGAGCCCCGTGTCTGGCTGTGTGCTGTCGGTGCAGATCCTGCTTGGGATTCTTCCTCTCTCTCTGCCCCTCCCCCACCTGCACTCTCTCTGTCTCTCAAAATAAATAAATTAAAAACTTAAAACAATATCTATGCTTACTTTCTAATGTATTTGATATCATACTTTGTATACAACTATACAACTTACATACCTTTTTACTTGATAATTTATCATAAGCATTTCCCATGTCAAAAATATTCAAGGGTTACTTAACCCTTTTGAAAATGCCCAACGATACATGAATGTAGACTGGTTCTTGATTTTCACTTTCTAAATAATGCTGTGAGTGCCAGTGTGCCTAAATCTTTGTATTTGAGACTCTTTTCTTAATAATCCACTTATGTATGTCATTTGCCTATTTACCTACTAGGTATCATAAGTGGGTTTTTTTTTTTTTTTGAAGATTTTATTTTGGGGATGCGTGCACCAGGGTGGCTCAGTTGGTTGAGCATCTGACTCGTGATTTTGGCTCAGGTCATGATTCCAGGGTCATTAGATCGAGCCCTACATTGGGCTTCGTGCTGGTCGTGGAGCCTGCTTGGGATTTTCTCTCTCTCCTCCTCTGACCCTCTCCCCCACTTGCATGCATACTCTCTCTCAAATTAAAGAAAAAAAAAGAATTAAATAAATACAAATAAAAATAAACTATTTTATGCAAACAAATGGTTAGCTCTCCAACATGTATTAATAGGTAAAAAAGAAACCCGATGTATAGTAACATGTATGTTACGCTTCTGAGTGTTTTTAAGTATGCATGTGTATATGTGGGAAATTTCCAGAAGTATAAACAAAAAAAGTACTTTTATGGAGTATACCTTATGCTAGGGTTTTGAGGTGTTTTTTAAAATTTTGTTGTGGTAAAATATATATAACATAAAACAAAACAAAATAAGATAAAATAACATAAAATAAAATAACATAACATAAAATAAAATAAAATAAAATACATAAAATAAAAAACTATTGAAGTCTAGGGAAAAAGGAGATTTTACTTTAAAGTAACCTCTACCCTCCACGTGAGGCTCAAACTCACAACCCCAAGATTGAGAGTCACGTGCTCTACTGACTGAGCCAGCCAGGCACCCCACAAGTGTTTTTTTTTAATTAATGTATATAAAATTGCCTTATCTATAGCCCTTAATGTGAAGGACTATATGTAAGTTAATTTTTACATACATCAACATGTTTGTTTGTTTATTACAGTATTGAGTCTAAACATTTCTGGGTTGTTAAATCCCTTACATGTAAGTTTCCTTGGTAAATTTTCCACTACTTTTATGCTTAGAACATCCTTCCTTATTCGGAGCACATCTGAATAGTAAACATAAAATCTCAAGATATGAAAAGGTAGCACTTTAAAGTGCACTGGGTCTTAATACGTGTCAAGGTTATAAATTGATTTTTGAGGGGGCGGGGTTTATTCCTTTCCAGTAACTAGCAGCTATTTTTCTGGGTGACGCAGCTTGATTTTATACATATATGGTATTTAACATGTATATAGCCTTACCTCGTTCTTAGCCCCATTGCACAATAGGCACTTAAATTACATTGTTGAAAGAAACCTTTTAGTGAAATTGGAGTCCTTGGTTTAATTGTCCCTAAAGCTTACCTGCAGCCTGGTTTTTGCTTTCCGTGAGACTCTTTTCATTAGCTTTATAATACATTCTGTTGCTGGCTTCAGCTAGTTGGTTTCTCTCAATTGTGAGCAGAATTACTGAGGGACAGAGCGTGTGTTACCTAAGAAGGCCTGCTTCATTCTAACTTACTATGGCTTATTTCAGAGGGAGTGCCTTTCCATTCACATTGGCCAAGCTGGCATCCAGATTGGGGATGCTTGCTGGGAACTCTACTGCCTGGAACATGGAATCCAGCCAGACGGCGTTGTTCTCGACAGTAAAAAGGATCAGGTGGAGAATGCTAAAATGGAGCATATGGGCGCATCTTGCAATACCTTCTTTAGTGAGACCAGAGCCGGGAAGCACGTGCCCAGAGCCCTCTTCACGGACCTGGAGCCAACTGTTATAGGTAATGTGGGGCTGGCGTTCTAGTGTGCTTAACCAGGTCCACAACCACAGCAAACAAACCCAGTACGAGTGCCTGGGATCATCAGATTACACTGGATCTATCTCAACAGGATCACAGGGACCCTTTTTAAATTTAGAAGGTCACTCGTGACCACGTAAGGTGGTCAGCATGAAACATACCCAGAGGGCATACTAGCTTAGCTCTCTTTTCCTATGTGATAAAACACATTCAAACCTTGTGAGTTTCTCCACACACATCTGTTGTGACAGAAGATCAGATCTTTTCCTGGATTGGAAAGCCAGTTGCTAGAAGCTTCTGACAAAGAATCTGAAATTTGGCATGACCCGAACATGATTCTGAAGAGGCAAGGAGCCAAATAAATCTTCTAATTGTGGGGGAAATGAATACAACGTTATGATAATGGAAGACTTGAGTAAGCACTTGAAATGGGTCTACAGAAATGCTGGGGGGAGGAAGGAGTCTTACTGACTTGGAAAGCCTGGAGAGGAGGGTGGATTTGGGTTTGGTATTATGCATCCAATTATTTACTGCTGTGTAATAAACTGCCTCCAAAATTAGTGGTTTGAAACAATAATGATCACTGTTTTGTCCATGACTCTACAGTTTGGACGGGGCTCAGAGGGCAGTGCTTTCTGCTCTACAGGGTGTCCTAAGGAGGCTCAAGTGGGAGCTGGAGGATCCACTTTGAAGAATTCTTTTTTTATTTATTTTTTTAATGTTTATTTATTTTTGAGAGAGAGAGAGAGACAGACAGACAGACAGAGTGAGAGCAGGGGAGGGTCAGAGAGAGAGGGAGACACAGTATCCGAGGCAGGCTCCAGTCTCCGAGCTGTCAGCACAGAGCCCGACGCGGGGCTTGAACTCACAAACTGTGAGATCATGACCTGAGCCGAAGTCGGACGCTCAACCAACCGAGCCACCCAGGCACCCCTGGAGGATCCACTTTGGAAGTGTTTCACCCTCATGGCTGGCAAGTTGGTGCTGGCTTGTTGGCTAAGAGCTGGGTCAGGGCTGTGGGGGCCACGGGCCTCCCCGCGGGCTGCCGAGACTTCCTCACAGCACGGCAGCGGGGTTCCAAGAGCAAGCATCCCAGGAGCACAAGGCTAAAGTCCATGGCATTTTAATACTCTAGGCTTGGAAGGGTGTTGACCCGCTGTTATTCGCTGGGTCAAGGCCATTACAAACAGAGATCCACTGAGGAAGGGAGTATAAGACCTCACCTCTTGATGCGCCAAGAGCGAGGTTTGAGAAGCACACGTGAGATGAGAAATACTCTGGTGGCCATCCTTGGAAAATGCAGTCTGTACGTGCTGGATTAGAGTTCATTTCCTGATCAGAACAATGTCAGATCAGGTATCACACTGAAGGTTGATTGGTGCCCGTGGGAAGCAGAAGCTGGAAAGGGTTATTATGAGGGAAACATGAGAACCGCTGAAGCCAGGATGCCTGCAGACAGATTCAGTATTTGCTAGATGTGAAAGAATTAAAAATAAGGAAATAGCGGTGGCTTCAAGAACAGGCGAAGCTAGTCTGAGGCTAAGAGAGGCAGTTATGTTGTATTTGGACTCTGAGTTATCAGTGCCCGAAGAGAATATCTGAATTTTTATTTCTGACAAGTGGGACTTTGCAGCCATGAGCTTCATTTGCAGTCTGGTATCCCCAAAACCCGGACGGAGTGGAATATGTCCCCAGAGGACTGCGGTAAATGTAACTAAAGAAGCAACGCGAGAGGCCACATCTCAGAATTATGAATATTGTAGCAGGTATTTTAACTTGTGCCAATCCGAAGACGCTGGGCCAGTTGGAGGTTTAAGACCTGGGATCAGGAGCTGAGCAAGTCAGGGAAGAGCTAGGAGGCAGGAAGAAACCAGAAGAAATTCCCAGTCCTCTGGAATATAGCATAAAGAGAAGGTCAGGAGCTGGCCCAAACAAAGAGGCGTATGCTCCAGCTTGGAGGAGAAGGTGCTGATTTTCCTTGTTCTCTTCAGCAACTAAGAGAGCCTCATACGTGTGAGGCACTGTCCTTGACATTGGAGGTGTATGTAGTCGTACTCTTCATGGAGCCCATATTCTAGTCGTGGGCAGTTCTATAAAAACCAAATAGTGTGCCTGATGGTGATCGGTGGATGGGGAAAAATAAGGCAGAGATGTAGGGGTAGGGAATGTTGTCCAAGTGGTGGGAGGTGCTTTTTCTAAAAGAATGTCAAGGAAGGCCTTGAAGAGAGGGTGAGCTGAAGGAAGAGAGGGCGAGAGCCTTACCTCTCTGGAAGAGATCAGAAAAGACTTGATGGACAAAGTGATAGTCCATCTGAATCTTGAAGACGGGGTAAGAGGACTTTTAACAGTTCACAGATGAAAGAGAATGGAAAACACGAGCAAAGACACACTCAGATACCTGTGAATATTGTTTCTGCTTGAAAATGGAGAGGATGTTGATATAGTGGAGTCACAGAAGACTTAAACTGGCATGGAGGCAGACTATGGAATTTCCTTGAATAATATGTGTGGTATGAATCTGATGGGAAATAAAAAGACTTAGAGCAAGGGAATGGCAGATTTAGAACTATACTTCAGTAATATTAATCACAGAGATGTATTCATTCCTGTATTCAATATTTCTTTAGCACCTGCTCTGTGCCAAGTACTGATCTAGAAAGAGAGTAGATTAAGTTACAAGATTTTTGTGTTGGATGGACTGGAATGGAGAATACCAATTTGAGAGGGGTCTAAACAGTAGAGGATTGAGGCGCCTGGTGGCTCAATCAGTTAAGCATCTCACTCTCTCAGTTGCAGCTCAGGTCATGATCTCATGGTTCATGGGTTCAAGCCCCGTGTCGGACTCTGTGCTGACAGCACAGAGCCTGCTTGGGATTCTTTCTTTCTGCCTCTCCCCT